CGGTCGGCCAGCCCAGGCTGGTATTTATCTGCAAGGCTGTAGTCAAGAAGTTTTGTGGCTTTTTGGATTTTTTTTTTGCCAAGACGCTCCATGAAGGATGTGCGTGATGGAGGGCAGGGGACAGATCTGAGGACTGGGGCTGGGATTTGGGGATTAGCACCAAGTACAGCCCTTGGTTTCTCCCCACTCTCACAGCAGGCACCCGAGGGGTGGTGCCAGGTCACTGGTTCTGAGCCCCCACCCCGATCCGGACAGAGGTGTTGCTTGCCCTCCAGCCCACTAGATGGGACAGCAGGATGCCCTGGCAAGGGGCTCAGAGTCACTGCGTGTGTCTCTAGATCAGGGACGATGCTGATGGGCCCCTCCTTCATGGCCCCGTCCCACTGGGTCCCTTGCTGCAAATCCAGGACGCTGGGCCTCAGCTCCCTGGCCTCCTGCCCTACGTCCTATGTCCTGAAAGACACTCTCCAGGGCCAGCTGGACGAGACTGGGCATCCCTGCCCCCCGCCTTCCACCACCCTGTCTCAGTCCCCACCTCTACCCCCTGAAACGTGTGCCCCTGCCAAGGCCAGAGACCCACAGCTCCGAAACGAGAAGTGCCCTTAAGAATCTCCCCAGCCTCCGCAGCCCTGGAATAAATTTTGCAATTAGTTTCCAGCTACCTTTGCCTGTTTACGTTCTGGGGCCAAAGCAGAACCTCCTTGTTGGGCTGTGGGTGGGCTGGGGAGGGCACTGACCGCGATAGGCATGCCACGCAGACGACCTTTGGTTCAGAGCTCTGGGGAGGCAGGGTGAGCAGTGGGGGGATGCTGGGCGCTTTTGGGTCTCAGCTTCAGTTCTACCCTCCCTGGCCAGGCCAGCAGTCATTTAATGGGCACCTACTGTATGCTGTCCCTCATTTCACTGTCCCCACAGTAGCCCTGTGAGGCAGGGCTTATAATCCGGAGCAGAAGGCACTTGCCAAGGGTCCCTCAGCCAGAAAACCTGGGTCCACCCAACGTCAGAGCGCTGGCCCTTTCCTCTCTGCCCTGGCCTGCCACACCCGCCCGCTTGGTGGCAGCAGTGAGCACGGCCAACACCTGCGCTCCCTCCGCTCCAGGGCTTAGCCTGCCTGGTCCCATCATCCTACCACTTCTGCAGGTGGAAGCCCCAGATTACAGATGAGAAAACTGAGGCATAGAAAGGTGAAGTGGCTTGTCCAAGTTCACCCAGCTGAGAAGAGGACAGCCATTGTGTAAAGCTCCATTGTCCTGACCCACTTTGACTAACTTAACTGGTTAATCTCCAGAGACACTCTGCTCCTCCCAATGCTTCTGTGCAAATTAGAAGAAGGCACCTCCTCTAGGGCAATGTAGCCCTAGGCACACAGCTTGGCAGTGACATTTATGCAAAGAAGAAGGCATTCCTCTCCTTGTCACGTGTAGAAATGAAGCAGGAGCCCTAGTTTCTGCCCGGGGCAATGTCCCGTCTTGTAGGAGGTGAGTATCTTAATCAAATTACAGTCCGATGGGATGCTTCATGGAACTGAGTCAGATAAGATGAAATGATTGACTGCACTCCTGGGGGACAGGGGAGGGGACAGGAAAGCTTCACAGCAGAAGTATCATCCAAATTGGGTTTTGAAGGATGCCCAGGAGTTTACCAGGTAAACAGGAGTTAAGAGCAGTCCGGGCAGAGGGAACAGTGTCAGCAGGATGGAAGGGTGTCAGCCAGTGGTGTTTGGGGACCTGGTTATTTGGCTGGAGAGTAAAGGGAGGGGGTGTGGAGAAGAAGGGGAAGGGGTGGGGGAAGGGTGACTGGAAAGGACCCCTTGGCCCCATCTCCGGCTCCTCCCCCACAGCCCCATGATTGCTTTGCGGGGAGACAGGAGCCCCCCGAAGGTGAAAGGAAAGTCAGAGGATACTAAAATGCAGGCGGTAGGGGGCCACCAAGTGTCCCGCCCACCTCCTTGCTACCCCTTCAGGCTCCAGCCCCAACCATCCCCCCACACAGCAGGCAGGGGCCCACCCTGCTCAAGAGAGCGACCCAGCCTTGGCCCAGCCCTTCCTCCACCTTCCCAGTGCAGGGTGGGGGCTCTGCCATCCCCCCTGGAGCCATACTGTCTTCTTTCCAGACCCCTCCCCAGCCTGGCGCCTTCAAGGCCTAGAACATCACCTCCTCTGGGCCACAGGGTCTAGCTCCCACAGCCAACGTGTCCTGAGTGCCTACTGTATGCAGGCACCACGCGCAGCACTGACACACAGGCCCGCACTGATGCCTCGCTTCGTCCCCCATGCTACAGATGACAGACTGGGCTTCCAAAGGTAAACAGCCCCCATCCCCAGAGTGACACACCCAGACCTGTGCTTGCATGGGTGGGTCAAACACCCTGGGATAGATTTTGCCCCAGACTCAACCCAGGTGGGGTTCAGAATGGAAGCCACGAAGGCCACCGGGTGCTATGGGGGCCTCTCGGGTCTCTGCTGCTCCGTACTCATTCTTGCCCCCACTCCTCCCCGGGTGGCTGTTGCGACTGGTGCTCAGCTATGCCAGTCATCTGGCCCCAGCAGGGTCTCAGCCAGGCTGATGTCAACAGGAAGGTGTTAGCAGCCTCTGTACCCCAAGCCCCAGCTCCTGCGCCCCTCTTTTGCCTGCCCCCTGCCTTGGGGCCCAGCCTGGCCCCTGGCCTGGTGCCAAGCCTTAACACCATCCCGGCTGCTCCCCTCGCCCTAAAGCCCGTTCTGCCAAAGACGAGACCAAGACCCGCAGAATAACCTTGCCCAGAGCCACACAGTGGCTGTTGGCAGGGCCTGGTCCCTCAGCCTGACTCAGAGGTGACAGGATTCAGCAGACCTCCTCACTGTGGCTGTGGCTGCCCTGGTGCTTCCTTCAAGCAGTCTTCCCGGGTGGCTCCCACTCTCTGCCACCTCCCTGACTGCTATGCCACATGGCCAGGGAGACCCCAGGGCCAAGTCACTGTCTCTGAGCCTCAGTGTCCTCCTCTGAACAACAAAGCCAAAGTGGCAGCTTTTCTCCCTCCCTCCTCCCTGAGGGCCTGGCCTCCCCTCCCGCTCCCCAGGCCATGATGACCCCCCCACCCCAGGGACAGGCAGAGCCTCAGTAGTACTGTTTATTGCCACAGACACCACAGGGCACATGAGAACTTCTGGGCAGGTGGAAGGAACAATCACAGAAGACATCAAGCGCAGGGGACACAGCTGTGGGGCCTGCGGGAACACCAGAGCTGGGGCCCGCATTCCCTTAGGAGGAGGGCGAGGCTGAGGCCAGTGAGAGCAGGAGGGGTCCAGGCACTGCTGCACCCTCACTCAGGGGCTGCCGGCTGCACCCTTCACAGGTCTGGGGGTCTGGGGTCGTCGGCGTAAGTCCCCAGGCTGAGCTGAGCTGGGCGGGGCTTGGAAGGACATACCCCCTGCACTCTGTCTAGAAACCTGGGAGGAAAGTGTGCCCTTCGGGCTTGGGTGGCAGAGAACGATGACGAAGGCCCCCCCACTGATGGGGAGGGGGCTGGGGACTGAGGCTGGGGGTTAGACCCTGGGCAGTCCCCTCTCTGAGCCTCAGTTTTCCCTCCTAAGAACACCTGAATGCCCAGGAGGGCTCCGTGGGTTTTTAGAAGGGGCAGTGGCAGACACTCTGAGGGACACAGCTGGCAGCCCCCACTCCCCGAACTTCTTGCTCAGGCCACCTGATTGGCGAACCGGGGCTAGAAGCAGAGTGAGGGTCTGGGGGGCCTGGCCAAGGTTGGAGGTCCAGAGGGTAGGGCCGAGGTGGAAGCGGCTCCGTTGCTATGGGCGGCCCTAGCAACGCACCCTTTCAGCGGAGACAAAGGCTCTGTCACTTGAGCGCAGAGGCGCCGCTGCAGGCTCTTGTTCCCGCAGCCGCGACGCCGAGGGGTGGGGGCGGGGCGGGGCCGTGGCGGGGGCGGGGGCCGCTCAGGGTCCGGGCAGCGCCCGCCGCGCCTACGCCCCTCGGCCTGCAGGGGGCGCGCCCGGCCCGTTTTGCAGAAGGGGAAGCGGAGCCTCCAAGGCACGGAGATACCAGCCAGAGGCGAGGGCCAGCTGGGAGCCTGGGGTCACACAGACCTGGGCTCAGACGTGCCCACGCTTATACCCACGGGACTGGCTGTGCCTCGGTTCCCCATCTGCGGGGCGGGCCTGACCCCAGCTCTGCCACTGACCCTGGCTAGTTGCTGCTCCTGTCTGTGCCTCAGCCTCATCCAACCAATGGGAGAGAACAGCCGGGCCATCCTCCAGGTCACTGGGTTAGAATCAGCAGGTGCCTGGGCTGTAGCCCCGAGCCTGCCCCGAGCCTGCCCCAGTACCAGCTCGGACACAGGCCTCTTGCCCGGCCTGGAAACAGGTGGTTTGAGGCTGGGGAATGGGTTTAAGATTGTGGGGACGCAGGCTCAGGGAGGCTTGCAGCGGGCAGGGTCCCCATGGCTCCCCTTGGGGACCTCCTCAGTCCTCAGTCCTCTCCCTGAGCAGGGCCTGGAGTGTCTTCGGCTTGCCCAGCTGCCCACAGGCTCCCCCACTATCACACCCCCATCTGCTGTCCAGCTAGGGAAACTGAGGCTTGGAGGAAGGCACTTGCCCCTCATCCGGTCTGGAAGGTCTTTTGGATCACATGGCGTCAGGACAGAGGCCCTCAGAGGGAGGCTGGGCTTGGGGGCAGAGTGGTGGACAGAGGAAGGCAGGCTTCTCATTCACTGCCCCCCTACCCCAGGCAGCACCAGAAAGGGGTTCCGCCAACAACCCCCCTAATGATTCCCTACCTAGGCCCCTTCCAAGGCCCACCATGTGTTAATGCAGGATTTCGGGCACCAGCGAAGAGCAGAGCAGGGGCAGGGAGGCTGGGTGTGGGTGCTTTGCAAATCACTTCCATCCTGGTGCAGTGGGACGGAGGGGCTGTCCAGACCCAAAGGGGAGAGGGGAGCCCCCCGAGATGGGAGCTATACCTGAAGCTTTGAACGCTGTCAGCTCCACAGCCTGAGGACAGAGGGGCCTTCAGGGGGGTGGGCCCCACTCCTGCTGCTCCCCCTTGCCCTGGGGGCCCCTGGCTACCTTGGCGATGACTCCCTTCTTCCCTCCCTCCACAATGGCCTTGGCATTCAGGTTCTGCCAGCATGCAGGGCCTTGCAGCCCGGTAACTGAGGAACGGATCCCAGGGGAGCGCCCACTCCAGCCCTCCCCTAGTCCCTGTGGCGTCCTCAACGAGAGGGCCACTCTGGCTAGCTCCCTGGCAGAGCCCTGTGGGGCCCACCCTGGCCAGCCTCACCGGTCTCTCGGGTTCTGTGATGGAGGAGAAGGCCGTGGGGATTCTGGGGCCGCGGGTCCCTGGCGGGGGCAAAACACTGGAGTTGGTGAACGTTTCTGAGACTGAGGGAGGAAGCCCTTTCTCTGCTCCTCCATCTTGGGAGCGGGGCCCTCATGATCAAACGCCGTGAGAATCCGCTCACAGGTTTAACCCGCAGATGGGAGATGAGGAAACTGAGGCCTAGAGAGGAAAAGTGACTTGCTCAAGGCACACGGGATGTAAGCTGGAGCTACAGCTGGAACCGCTGGCCTGGCCTTGAAGTCATTCAACCCATGTCCCACCTCAGGGCCCCAAACCCCCTCCACTCGCCTGTCTCTGGGAGTCCCCCGACCCTCTCTGCCTGGAGACCCCCATGTGGGCTGGGCACCAGGGGACCCTGTTTCCTGGCAGTGGGAGGGAACAAGCCGTTTTTAAGCCACTCCCCAAGCCCCAAGGTTGCAGTTTCCTGGGCCTCAGTTTCCTTATCTTTCAGATGGGCTAGTAGGACCTGCCCTTGTCCTCCTAGCTCTTCCTGAGCAGTGGGGAAACTGAGGCACTGGGCAGCACCTGGACTGGAGAGTGATGAGGCCATACCTCTGAGAGCCACTTGTCTTCCAGGGGCAGCCAAGGCTACAGGGCTGCCCTGCGCCACCTCCCAGGGACCTGGGGGCTGAGGCCTGGCCCCCCGGCAGGTGGGGCTGCAGCGGGTCTGAAAGGACAGGGCGTTGGTGCTTGCACCCTGACCCGTGGTGTCTGGGCCTCCCGCCCCAGCGCCCCGTGAGCACCTCAGCCGCCTTCTTCTCAGTCATCCTCTGCAGGGCGCTCCGCACCTGGGGGACGGCTGGGGGTCAGGCCTGGGGGGCTGACAACCCCACTCCACCCCAGGCCACCCCCTCCCATGGCCAGCATGCCCAAACTCACCTCCCCATTGTAGGCTGCATAGACCAGGAAGATGTACGGCCCCTGGGGACAGACCCCTTGGGTGAGCAGGTGCCACAGCCTGGGATGCCCCCCGACCCCAGGGCTTGGCCGCCTGCCCTGCTTAGGGTCATGGCTCCCCCCAAGTGGTTGCCATGCCACAGCCCAGGTGAGCCCAGGAACACAAAGCCCGCCCTGCCCTCCTGCCCCGCCTGGGGAGGGGCCGCTGGGGCATCAACGGGAGAGGGGAATAGGAGGGGCCTTGCCCCACTCAGCCCCATCCCTGAAGCCACTCTGACCTCTAGTCCTCGTGCCACCCCTTGGGCCTGCCCCACGCTCACAGCCTTGCCATCCTGTGGGGCTTGGGGATGGGAGCGGGGACCCCTTCCTAAAGCTCCAAGGCCAAGTCAGGTCCTGGGACAGCAGACCCAGAAGCGCATTCTCATTGTGCCTCTAGCTGAGTGGCCTTCTCCTCCCTGAACCTCTGTCTCTTCATCTGGAAAGTGGGGATGAGGCCAGGACTTGCCTTCTGAGGGGACGGGAGGGGCTAGGCGGGAAGGATCCAGCACAGTGGCTAGGGCACAGCTGCCTTCCCTCCCCAAGGTGTGGGGACAAGAAGGCCTTGCCACTCACAAAGCACCTCACGTTTGGGGTCTCACTGGACCCTCACAGCAGCTCCCTGGTGGGGTGTTCATTCTCCCCATTTGATGGAGAGGGACCCTGCAGCCCAGGGTGGGGGACAGGGGAATGAGCCCCAAGCTCCACTGTGCCCCAGCGGGTGCTCCAGCGGCCCAGGACGTCCTCCGATTCCTCCCGCGCAGCACGGAAGGCAGCAGCTCCTGCCCTGAGGCTCGGACTGGACGACGCGGGTTGGGGTCGTGGGATTCCCTGAGGCCTTCCAGCCTCCCCAGCCGCCGCCTTTTACCCACTCCTCACCACCAAAGGCATCTTTCCAAACTCCAACCCGCCCACGCCAGCACCTGCCCAGCACGCTCCATGGCTCCTAAGTACCCCTGGGACAAAGTGTGACCTGCACGGCAGCTCTGGGGCCCTGCGCAGTCTGGCCCCCACGCCCCCTCCTGCCCCACTTCTCACCAGCCTCCCCCGCGTGTCTCCCGCTTTGATCCCACCAGCTCCCCTGGCTGGACACCTTCTTTCCCTCTCCCGTGCAGCCATCAGGTCTTAGTGAGAATCCCACCCTCCAGGAAGTGCCCATTCTGTCCCCCCACGCGTGGCTCCTCTGTCCCCACACTGCCTTGACGGTCCCTGGGTCTCTCAGCCTCAGATGTGCCACACTGGGTTCGTGTGGTTTTGATGTCTGTCTGTCCCTCAGGCTGAGAGCTCACAGGCGGACTCTTTGCTTCCTGTGCACCGAGATAGGCAGAGGGCCAGAGAGGGACCGGGCTGGAGCTGGGAGCTGACACAGAGACAGCAGGTATGACAGAAACAAGAGGAGAAGGGAAGACCAGGCCTGGGGAGAGGGAGCCAGAGAACAGGGCCCTGAGCCCGAGAGGGTCACAGGACCGTCGGAAGCGGGCCTAGGTCCCCCCGCATTGAGCCACCCACCCATGAGGCCGCCTCTCCCTGCCCTCACCGGGAGACCTCCCCAGGCAGGCGTGCGGCGGAGGTTGACGGGAGGGAAGGAGGGGGCCACGCTGCCGAGTTGGAGAGGCAGAGATGAAAAGACGGGGTGTCAGAGAGACAGGGCGGGGCAGAGAGGCAAGGAAGAGCCAGACGGGATCCAGGCCAGGAATGACGCCTGTGGCTGGAGGGGGAGAGGGGACAGTGACAGAGAGAGAGCCTGAGAGACAGAAAGAATCTCTCAGAGAAAAGTCAGAGACAGAGACAACGGGCGAGACACCGAGAGGAAAGAATGAGAGGGGAAGGGTGGGAGGCACAGCCGGTGGTGACGGTGGCACCGTCCCCATGGCCGTGCCTCTGCCCGCCTGAGGGGCACAATCATGGGTGGGAGCAGCAGGGACCTACCCTGCAACGTGGAGGGGCACCTGGCAGGGAGCTGGAGGGGTCACTGTGGTGACACTATGCTGTCACTCTCTCTGTGCTGCAGGGTTGGGGGACATACCTCACTAGGTCACAGCTGAGCGGGCTGAGCCGGAATGCGTCAGGGACGGGCGCGCAGCACCCCGGCCCCCACCGCGCAGGCCCAGCAGGTCTCTGGAGTCGTGCTTCCCTGACAATGGCGTTGGGACCCCAGGGCCCCTCTCTGGGCAGGACCGTCACCCTCCCCGGCAGGCCCACTTGCTTTTCCTCTCTGTCTCCACGCCGGCCTGGCAAAAGTGGCTGAGTCCCCAAGGCCAGGAGGAGACGAGCGCACAGGCCAGGACGCCCCAGGACCCCGCAGCCAACACCCCTCCCCCTGCCTGCCTTGTCCCCTCACTTATCACTCATTTCTTCATCTCGGCCACGGCTGCCCCCGCCTTTCAAAGGGCGGTTCCACGAGAAGAGAGCGTTTTTGCTGCCCGGTTTGCCGCGGTCCCCCGGTGCCTAGAGCAGCGCTGGCATACTGTGCGCGAGCGGTCAGTGGCGCATGGAGGCAAGAGCGCCTGGTCAGGACGCCCCTCCCCAGGGCAAGCCAGGGCCCGGCTGCGGCCAAGGCTGGGGAGCCCAGGCTGAAGACACAGGCTCTGGTGCTGGGCCCCAGCGCTGCTCCTTCCTGTAGGCAGCCTTGGGCAGTGACTTCCTGAGGTCTCAGTTTCCCCATCTGTACACCTCACTGGGAGTTCTAAATAGGAGCCTGGCCCGGGGCTCAGAGACAGCACCAGGCATGCGAGCAGCTGCTACCGCCTCAGCCCCTTCTCTGAGGCAAGATGGCAGGTCCTGAGGAGGGACCCTAGATGAAGTGTGCACCTGATGTCCCCAGCTTTGTCCCGCCTGGGCCCTGGCCCACCCACTCTTCTGGCGCTGAGAGGGGCCCAGGCTGGGGAGGGCTGGGAGTGGGGGGTGCAGGTGGCGGGGGAGGCCTGGGGGCAGTGCAGGGAGGCTGAGGGGCAGGGCAGGGGGCAGGAAGGACCCTCCCTGGGCCTCGCCCTCTTTCAGCACTCAGCCCTTGGCTGTCGCTGTCCACCCATGTCCAGGTTCCCCACAGGTCCGTGAACCCCTTGAGGACAGAGACGCAGTCGGCCTCGTCTCTGTGGTGCCCAGGGCCTCTCCTGGAGTCCCACCGTCACTGCTCCGCACGTGGGCTCAGCCCGGCTCCTCACCAAACTGCTGTCCTCGCTGACCCCACGGCCAGCCACAGGCCCCGTGAGGAGGGGGGCTGGTCCCCTGCACCCCCGCCTCCTGGAGAGGGCTGAGGTGTCTCTGGCACAGATGAGGGCCGGAGTTTCAGCTGTTCCCTGAATGTCAGGGCACAGTGAACCCTAATAGTCCCTTTTCTGGGCCTCAGCTTCCTGAACTGCCCAGTGGGCCACACAGTCCTCGCCCTTGAACTGCTTGTGGATTCGAGGTGCTTTGTTGCCACTCCCACCCTCACACTCAACGCCTCTCCTTGCGATAGAACATGCCCCTCCTGCTGAACGTCTCTCATGATGGAGAGCTTGCCCCTGCTCAGTCCCCGACAAACCAGCCACCCCTGTGAGCTGTGTCAGAGGCCCGGCCCAGCCGGCCCAGGGCCTACAGGTACCTGGAAGGCGTTGAGGCCCACGGCAGCATAGGCCCAGGCTGGGCCGCGGTGCACCAGGAGGCCGACCAGCCAGGTCAGGCCCAGGACAGGCAGCAGAACCAGCACGGGCTTCACGGTGGCCCTGCAGGAGGGTGGGCAGGGCTCAGGGGGCTGGGGCGGCCTGGGGAGCTCCCCACAGGGCTCCAGGGAGCAGGCCTGGGAAGTTCGAGCTGCAGACCGGGGGCCACAGCCAGGTAGGACTTAGATGTAGCCAGAACCTTCTACTGGACTTTTTTGTGCCCTTCTCAAAGACCCAGAGGCAGCATGAAGTAGGGGTGGTGGCACTGAGGAGAGGGGGTCCCAGTCCCAAACCTGGCTGGAAGGAATGGGATAGCTGCTGCCCAAAGGGAGGGCTGAGGCCTGGGCAGTGGGGCCAGGGGGCCTGGGGTCAGAAGGGCTCCCCCTCCACCTCCCCCAAGGACCGCTGGGGTTCCCTGGCTTTTCAGGGACTCACTGGCTTGATCTGCCCTGCCCTTGGTGGAGGACAGGTGGGGAAGAGGAGGGCCAGAGAGGAGGCAGGGCTGGGGGAGGAAGGCCAGCATAGGCCCCCTCTCTAGCAGGGCGTGGCCCTGGAGAGCGATGGGGGTCCCTGGAAGGATCTGGGTCCTCACCCTGAACCTGAACTTCTGAGGATGATGACCTTGTCGCTACCAGACTATCAGTGCCTTCTGCAGACAGCGTGCCCCCAGGACCATGGCTGGTGTCCACACCGCCTCACACAGGGTCAATGGCCATCCCCACACATGACACACGGGGACATGCTTACGCTGACATGCACGAACGTGGGTGACACATAAGCAGGGACACACGGGCACACAAGTGCTCAGTACAGCCTCAAGCACAGCCACATAGCCACAGCCCCCGACACAGCCTCGCCCCGGCAGCCAGCCTCCCCGCACGGGCCTCACCATAGCTGCATCCTGACCTGCTGCTGCAGGCAGGGCTGTGGGCTCAGCATGCGGGCACGGCGGCGGGCGCTGGACACGGTGACCATCACCACGCGGACCAGGATCCAGGTGTTGGCCTGGAGACCTGGTGTCAGCGGGCGAGAGGCTTTCCCCATCCCTGCACGGCCCCGCCCTCCGGGACCCCCCGGCTCACAGTCAACACGAAGAGCACAGGCCCCACAAAGGCCCAGATGGCGTCCGTGTGCACGTTGAGCCAGCAGTGTCCAGGGGCCACGTAGTCACGGGGGAACGCGGCCAGGGTGATGGCCACGATGCCCACAGGCACGCCTGGGGAAGCGAGAAGGGGCCTCAGGGCCGTGCCGCCCACTCTTGCCTCTCCAGACCCCGGGCCTGCCCGGCTTAGCAGCAGTTGTACTGTAGTGGGGAGGTCCAGGGAGCAGGTTTGGGTGGGCCTGTCACTGTGGGGGTGGCACTGGAGCCATGAGTACTGTGGGTGTGGGGAGAGCTGAGACTGGACTGAAGGCCAGGGCTGGGCATCTACGGAGAGGGAGGGTGGCAACTGGTGGGGGTGGCTGGTCACGGAATGGGGGAGACAGCACTGGAGGTGGGGGGTGAGGCTGCCGAAGTGGAGCAGGGTTACGAGGAGCTGGGGGTGGGTAAAGTTGGAGGTTGACGGAACTGGGGGAGATTGAGCTCGTGTTAGAGATGGGGACTGGGTGCTGCTGGGGACTGGGTGCTGCCGGGTGCTGGTGTGCATGGAGAGGGGAGATGAGCACCGGGTAGTGCTGGGTGTGGGCAGTGCTGGATGGCAGCAGCGGCCGTGCAGAGCATGGGTGGGGAGCAGGGGGCCTCACCCCAGCCTGTGGCATAGTAGAGCCTCATCCTTGGGCCCGGGCGCATGCTCACGGCCACCACCTTGCTCCACAGCAGTAGTCCCTCCACCAGCATCCAGGAGAACGCGACCAAAAAGAGGAAGTGCATTGCAGCTGTGACAGCCACACATGCCACCTGTAGGGAGGGACCCCCACCGAGGGCAGCCATGGGTCCCATGCCCGTGCCTGGCGTTGCCAGCACAAAGAGGTGTCTGTCAGCAGGTGAGGTCTCTGGGCAGTGCCCTGGCCCCAGATCTACCACTGGGGCCTTTCCTCTCTGGGCCTTGCTCCTTCCCAGGGAAATGGAGCCAAGTGAAGATGTGGCGGGGGTAGGGGGGCAATCCAGAAAAGTCCACAGGCATTGCCAGGGCTCCCCTGAGCACACTAGCCCCTCCCCCGGCTGCCCACCTTGTTGGCCTTTGCCCACTCGCTGGCCATGAGGAAGCCCTCGGCAGAGGCCAGGGAGAAGGTGAGGTTCTTGTGGACTGTGGTTCTCTCCGACTTGGGGACCCTGGACAGGCAGAGGACTCAGTTAACCAAGACACCACCGCCAGTCCCCACAGCCCACCAGGCCCTGCCCCGCCGGGTACTCTGTGGAGGCAGACAGAGGCAGGGAGGGCGGCTCTGCAGGGGGCCCAGGGGCTGCAGGGACGGACACCTGCCCCGAGGGGCACGTGCAGGCCAGCAAGGGGCAGGCTGGGCCCAGCGCTCCTCACCCAGCCGCCAGGAACAGCAAGAAGGTGGTGACCAGGGCACAGAAGGACACGCCACAGCCCACAAATGAGAGAGTCCTCAGCAGTGACTCCTCCTCAGGGCTCCTCTGCAGGGAAGAACAGAAAGTAACCCCACACCAGCCACACCACCCTGGCCTGACCCGGGCCCGGCCTCGGCCGCTCGGACAGCCCATGAGTCTCATTCACCTCTGTAGTAAAGCGGAGACGGACACAGTACCAGCGGCAGGCCCAGGCCTGCACACAGTGGGCACTTGATAAGCGGGCATTTGCATGTCTTTCTTTTGTGCCGGATCTCCCTAAACTGGCTCCACTCAGCCCAGCTTCCACCAACCCAACTGCTGCTCAGAGCACTCAGTTGGAAGCGACCGACCGGCATGCCCCTGGGGAGGGGATCCCATGTGACAGCCAGCCACCCATGGAGGAACCACAGATATGCCCTTAGAAACAGGGCTGTGGATGGATTGTTTATGACATGGAAAAACATCCGTGCTCTGATTTTATAGGAAAAATGCATTGGATCACGTTTTTCTAGCGTGCTCACAGCACCGAGTGACCCCAGCGTTCCTGAGGCTCAGGCCCCATCTAAGTTGACCTCTCGGCAAGTGACCACTCAGAGTCCCTTTCCAGCTCCAGTGAACCCCCCTCTCCTGGTCTCCTCCTGGAGTCTATCCCCCAATCTGTCAGTGCTGGTGTCCCTCAGGGGCCTCTCTTGGCCACCTGTGGCTTTAGCTATTGGCTCTTCCCTTCCTCTCCAGCTGAGAACACCCCTCCCCGCAATGCCAGGCCTCCCTGTCCCCGTTCTCACCTGCACGTCATACACCTGCAACAGGACGGCGAAGTTGGTGCTGTGGTTGCAGAAGCAGGCGGTCGAGTCCCGGTACAGGGCAGCCACGGAGCAGCCGGTGGTGGCCCAGGCGCCCCCTGTGTCTGGGCTTCGGGGTGCAGAGGGAATGGAGGGCTCTGAGATGTGGTGGATATGGGGGTGGGGGCCCGTGGCAAGCAGGGAAAAGCCTCTCCCCAAAGCCTGGGCCCATCGCTGCCCTGCCTCTAACCAGCAGTGTGACCTTGGCAAGTCACTGCCCCTCCTGGGCCTGTTTGTCATCTGTAAAATGTGTGTAACATGCTCGGGACGGCAGGACAGGGCTGATACCAGTGAGTGCCATTTATCCACTTCATTAATTACTAAGCAGCTGTGGCTGTGTTCACTCCCTCAGCTAAAGATCCAGGGAGGGAGCCGGGGCTATCCCTGGACCTCCTCTGCCCCTTCAGACGCCCTCGGGCCCTGCCTTGGATGTAATCAAGTCCAACACCCGTTTGCCAGGTGAGCCTCTTCCTAGGTGCCTTATAGAGTGCCTCCTCCTCCACATACCTCCTGTGACAGGGAACTCACTACCTCCAGGGTAACACTGTCCCCTGTCCCAGCTTGTCCTGGACTCACCCCTACAAGACAGATGGTGATTGGAGGCCAAAACCATACCTGAGTCCTGTTTCATCCCCAAGCAGAGTGGATGTCTTAAAAGACCGCCTTATTTAAAAAACTTGGAAAGGGAAACTTACCTGATACTGAAGTTCCAGAAAGCACAGACAGGCTCCACCAGCTTCTGCGGGAAAGCCTGGGCACAGGAAACAGACAGGGCGGGTGCTCACGTGTGCACGGGGGCAGGGGCAGGTGTGAGCACGGGCAGGAGAGAGAGCAGGAGGGTGGAGGGGACGCTGAGGACGCTCTGTGTTTGAGGGACCGGGGTTTGCCCACCGTGCCTCAGGAGTGACAGGGCGGAAGGGAAGGGAGGGGAGCAGACTTTCCGTGTAGCATTATGGATGAGGTTGAAAGACTGGGAACAAGCTAAAGGGCCGTCCGTCGGGGAATGGGTGGGATGCCCTGCCTCTGGTGAGACGCACAAGCAGGCCTCTGCCTACTGACGTGGGGAGATCTCCATGACACATTCAGTAATGGACAAGTTCACACCGTTACGCGCGATGTAAGCCCATTATGTAAACACACTAAGGCCTGTGACCTTGTGAAAACACACGCACACGCAAGGTCTGGGGACAAACACACAGCTACCTTAGCAACGGCTAGGTCTGAGTTTGAGTGTGTGATGATGAACATGCTAGCTCTTTTGTAATTAAATGACAACAATATAGATTGCATAAGATGTCATTAAGCAGTGAGGGGACATCAGGTGGCCAGTGGCACCAGCCCCAGCGCAGGCAGGGAAGGCAGCCTGGCTCGGGACAGGACCAGTAGCAGCAGTGGCTCCTCACTTTGTGTTTGCCAAGCACTTTTTTTTTTTTTTTGAGACAGGATCTTGCTCTGTTGCCCAGGCTGGAGTGCATGGCATCATCATAGCTCGCTGCAGCTTCAAACTCCTGGACTCAAGCAACCCTCATGCCTCAGCCTCGAGAGTAGCTAGGACTGCAAGCACGTGCCACCACACCTGGCTAATTTTTTATTTTTTATTTTCATAGAGACAGGGGTCTTACTGTGTTGCTCGGGCTGGTCTCAAACTCCTGGCCTCAAGTCATCCTCCTGCCTCAGCCTCTCTATGTGCTGGGATTACAGGCATAAGCCACCACGCCAGGCTACCGGGCTTTTAAATTAGTCCCCTACTGATGGACATTTATTTTGTTTTTATTCTTAGGAAGCACGTCTCCATGAAGGCCGGAATATCTCTGCACACGCTGCCACGACTGACTCCGTGGCAACACCAGTTTTCAGAGTTCCACGGACCTAGAATGAAATCCCAGCTCGGCCACTTACAAGCCAGAGCCAGTCACGGCGCCCCTGCCAAGCTCTGTGCGAAGCGAGCTGTTGGAGGCTGAAATGGATGCTGCTTTTCTGAGGCACCTGGCATAAGGTAAGCGTACAATAAATCGCTTCCTGTCCCAGTGCCTTGAGGACAGCGGGGGTAGCTTGTGGGTGACTTTCGTTTTGTGCATTACTAGACTTTGGTTGTCCAGTGAACGAATACTGGGGGAGAACCAACCAGGATAAGTGTACCGGGGTGGCTGTCTCCCCGAAGCGTCACCCAGTACCTGCGCCTGGTGCTGCAGGTGAAAGGTCGCGGCCGTGTTGACCTCCCCAGTGACATCCCACACCTCAGAGGAGATGATGGCTGACCCCACCTGGGTGTGTAGGAACCTGTGGGGAGAAAGAGTCGTGCATGGCTGGGGCATCTCTTCTAGGCCCCTGTGTCCAAAGCAGTATCAGGGGAAGTCCTATGCTGGGAGTTAGGGCACCTGGTTCCAGCCTGGCCGCAGGGGCCTGCTGGTGACTTGGGTAAGCCCTGTTCCCCGCTGAGCCCCAGCACTGAAGCCAGGGCCCCAGACAGGAGCCGAGCCCGTCCCACCAGCCACACCTTTGGCAGGCCCGGGGGTGTGTCGGGCAGGGGAGAGGGAGTGGGCGGATCCTGGACTACTAAGGACAGAGGCGCCCCCCACAATGGGGGCTCTGGCCTTACCTGCGGAGGGGGCGCAGGCCCTCAGCAGCCCACTGGGTGGGGCCCACTCACCTCTGCACCCTGCTCGCCTCCTCCACGCTGTCAGAGGCCTGGGGCTCTAGGCCAGGCTCCCCCAGGGTGTGCTGGAAGATTCTCGAGGTGAACCAGCCGTGGATCACGGAGACTCCAGAGAGGCCTAGCTGAGTGGGAGGGCGGGGGGGACCCAAGATGCTACCCGGTGACTGAGCAGCCACCACCAGTTGGCCCCAAGATCAGTGCTCTCCCCACTGTGCGGACAGGGAAACTCAAAGAGGTTAAATGGCTTCCCAGAGTTCACACAGCTGGTAAGTGTCAGAGTCAGAATTCCAACCAGCCATAGTCGACGCGCTTAGCCTCACAGCTCCAAACCCCTCTGCCCCTTGCCCTGCTCCTGCGCCCCTGCAGGGCGTCAAGGGTGAAGTTTGCCCTCCACCGCCCACTTCTGAGGGAAATGTGTGGGGTGCAGCAGAGGAGACTAAGTGAACACCACTATGTGGTGGGCGCTTTTAACCGCGTAACGCACGAGGCAAGTAGTAATACGAGGAAACTGAGGCACCGACAGATGAGGTGACTCAGTCAAAGTGGCACAGCTAGCAACGGTCAGAGCTGAGGTTTGGCCCAGACCTCAACAGCGCTCCGGCCACCCCGTCGCCCTCACCCACCTTTCCTGAGCAGCCGCGCCACTTCACTAGCAGGAATGCGGATGTGGCCAGGTCCCTCTGGACGCCCCCCGGGCATCGTGAATACGTAGCCCCCCGTGCTGGCCTCCTGCAAGCGCAGGCTCCGCACCTCCAGGCCTGGGAGTGAGCAGGTGTGGGCAGCTGGGCCTCAGGAGTGGCAGGGCCCGCGCCCCTCTCCCTGCCACAGGGAGGCCCCCGTTCCTGCTCAGAGAGGGTCGGCACCTTGCCCAGGCCAAATCTGGCTTCTCCAAGTCCAGGGGGAGAGGGTCACTGAGAAGGAGGGCCCTTGGGAGGCAGGACCTGAGTATCAGTGAGCCACCAGACACCAGTGGGCACCTGAAGGTCAGAGGTTTGTACCAGAAGTTCCACCACAGGTGCATCCCCAGCCAATCTACAAACACTCACTGAGTATGTACCTGGGCCTGCCCTGGGATGCACAGACCACCCAGAAACAGCCCTGGTGCTCAGGGAGTGTCGGGTGGAGGGAGACAGTCCCATTACGTAATTAGCACAAATGCAGTAACAGGTACGTTCACGACATTGGGGTAACCTAGGGGGCAGAAACTGTCAGGAGAGAGCTAAGAGTGGGGAAGGCTTTCTAGTGGGGGCAATGCGCCAGCAGGGTTCTGAAGGACGCAGAGGAGTTTGTTAGGAGGTTGAGAGAGGGCATTGTGGATGGGGCGCACAGCATGGGCAAAGGCAGGAAACAGGGTGACGTGTCTGTGCCAGTGCTCCCAGTGGCCAGGACTCAGGAGAGGTGTCTGAGCCCAGGTGTGAGGCAGGGACAGGGGTGGCAGGCTCACCGGCATGGTGGTGCTGGATGTGTATTTGGGGCCGCTCTGAGGTCAGCATGGTGCTCAGCAGGGGTGCCAGGCGCTGCACGATGGCCACCAGGGCCATAGGTCCGCCAACCACCTGGGAGGAAGCTGCACGTCAGCTCCCTCTCACATACCACACCCCGATGCCGCCTGCTCTGACCACGGGGTGCGCACTCTCAATGATCTGAGAGGTGGTCCTGCCTGCCCCAGCCTCCTCTGACCTCGCCAGCCCTGTGGCACAAGCCACCCCATCTTCCAGCCAAACCAAAGGCCTCCAGCGCTCTGTGCCTGCTGGCCTGTTTGCCAACCAGCGCACACTCTGCAGGCTGGCCCTTGCCTCGCTCTTCTTCACTGTGACCCGGTGCCAGACCTCTAACAGGTGCTCAACGTTGAGATTCCAAAAGGAAAGCCACAGGGAGGCAGGAGAGCAGGGGAAGGAGGGGAGAACACGCATTCACAGGACACCTACTCTGCTGGGCAAATCACCCAATTCATCCATTAACTCCTCTCCATTCCCTTAGCAAGGCAGCTGTGATAATCCATTCTCCAGGGTGGAAAACTGAAGTTCAGAGTCAAGTTTTTCCCAGTCTGCCACAGTGCCTCAGATTCCTAATCCATTGTGGGTTTTCACACTTCTCAAGATGTAGAGCTCACTACCTGTCCAGGTGAACCATTCTACAGAACCAGCTCCTCTGTTGTGCCATCTCCACCCTACCCCCAAGCCCTGGTCCCAAGTCAGTCCTCTGAGGCCACAGGGAGACCATTATTGCTCTGTCAACCACAGAGATTTGCAGGCAATGTCCATCACCTCTTGTTCCCTCCCATCTCTGGGCTGATCACTCCCAGGCCTACAGCCACTTCTGCCAGGATGAGGTTTCCAACAGCTCCTCCATCTGGATAGCACCTCTCATGTTCTCCAGAGTATCTGGGCTGTTCAGGCAGACACGGTGGGCTAAGGCTTAAGATGGGAGACCCTTACTGATCGGTGGCTCTTAATCATTTTTAACTGCAGAAGCTAGTGTCTAAGTGCAATTGCATGTGAAAGTTTAACTTATAAAATAGACAAAAGAGGAGCTTCTCCCGATGGATGGCGAGATGGAGCCCAGAGCTGGGTGCTGACTCAACAGCTACACAACATGCTGGTGGCAAGGTTGGAACCAGAGCCCAGGCCCCTGCCCCACACAGCCCTGCTGGCCTTACCTCCCTGATGGACAGCCACGCGTCAGCCACCTGCTCCTCCAGGACCAGGCTGGCCACAGACATGACACTCTGGCCCAGCTGCTCCCAGGGCCCTGTCGAGGGCTCTGGCTCCCCAGCCCCGAGGGCCGTCACCCTCTTCAGGAAGTGCACAACAGCCAGCAGCGCCGCCGGCCCCAGTGGAGCCGCCTCCTTAGCCAGGACTCTTTCCAGGATGTCCAGGAATCTGGAGGCCTCGGCCAGGGACAGGACCCCGTGGGCTTCGGAGAGAGGATCTGGGAGGAGCTGTGGGCAGAGGAGCTGCTGATTGCTGGTCTGACTGTAACGAGGGGACTCCCCAGAGGCCACATTGGGCTCTGCTGGGGTCTGCTTGGTGGGCACTGGTCAAACTTGTCACAAGCCCCCAGCTCTCATGGGCTCCAAAATAGGGAACACGAGCAACCTTAATTCCTGCAGATACATCAGAGGGGTGTCCCCTTTACAGGTGAGAAATGGAGGTGCAGTGAGATGACCCATAGTGCCCCGACTCTCCAGCCCCCTGGGAGGGGCTCACCACAATAGCGTTGGCCAAGGCATTGACTCGGCTGATAACATCCTGGCCAGGCCATGACTGGGCATCCTGTAGCCGCCGGTAGGTCTCTGCAGAGGAGTGGATGCCAGGCTGGGCCCTGGGCAACACCCCCGCCCAGAGGTGCCAGCCTGCTCAGCGACCCCCGCCCACCATGTGCTGCCCAGGGGAGGGAGAGCACCTTGACGGCTGTGTCTCAGGCCCTACACACGGTGTTCTAGATGAGAAAACTAGCACAGAATGGCAAAATCGCTTGCCCAAGGTCACAAGTTGGGATTCACCTCAGGTCTGTCTCGCCCCACTAGCCCTGTGGTCTAGACTCCGTGGAGGGCCTGAAGCTCCGAGAAGATTCTGAATTCCCAGACTTTGCCAACTGCTCACGTCCCCCGCGCCGCCCCCCAAATTCTACACCAGTCCAGCACAGCGCAGGAGCACAGCCAGGGCACACCTGGCCGGTAGCAGCAGAGGAAGGGCCGCGGCTGCAGGCAGAGCTCGGAGCCCTCGGTGCGAGGTCCTGGGTTCCACGTGGGGCACTCCTCCGAGGGCACTGGCCAGGGTAGGAGAGGTGTCAGGGCTGCCTCCTTGCTCCCCAGCGGTCCTGTGACACACCCTGCACCCCAGACAGGGAACCAGGATGCACCGCCCCGGGATTAGGGGGCGACAAAACGATGGATGTTGCGGGCGGCACAGGGCGGGGCACGGCGGCCTGGGAGCGAGCCCGCTCAGGCTAAACGGACTGGGGAGGGCGTGGCCAGGGTTGGGCGTGACCAGGTTGGCAATTGGTGGGCGGGGCCCCAGGTCAAAAGGGAAGCGGCGGGGGCCAGGGGCGGGGCCGGGCGTTGAGCCGGAGGGCGGGGCCCGGCGCGCCGTACCCGGACAGAGCAGGCGCACCCGCACGGCGGGCAGCAGCGAGGGCGTGACGTCCAGAGCGCCCGGGTCCCAGCGGAAGAGAAGGCCGCCTGGGGGCGGCGCGCAGGCTCGTGCCCCGAGCAGCTGCGCGGGGCTCAGCGCCCGGGCCCACAGGTGGAAGTCGGTAAGGTTGCCACTGAAGGCGTCACGCGCCGAGAAGCCGCCGCCCAGAGAGTCCTGATCTTGGCCCAGCACCAGGATGCCCCCGGGCGGCACCGAGTGGCCCGCGGCCAGCCCTCGTGCCCCAGCGCGCCGCCGCCCGTCGGCGAACAGCGTCCAGTGCCCGCCGCGCTGCTCCCACGTGGCGCACACGTGGTGCCAGCGGCCGTCGGCACGGAAGGCGGCGAGGAAGGGCGCGTGGTGCCCGCGCACCACTAGCGCAGCGCGCACGGTGCCGCCCGGCTCGGCGAAGGCGCGCAGCTGCAGCGCGTTGGCCAACGCGGGCACCGCGAGGGAGAAGAGCGCGGCCACGTCGGGCGTCGCGGCGTCCCACTGTACGTGCGCGCAGACCGTCAGCGCCCTCAGCGAGGGCAGGGGTGTCCGCAGCCGCGCCGCCTTGTCCGCCGTCCTCTCGCCGAACACCAGCGCGGCCGTGGTGCGCGCGCCTGCGGGGACACGCGGGCCAGGTCCTCGTTTTCCCCAGCCGCGCACATGGTCCTGCCTCTGACTGCCCTTTGGCGCGGCTGCGGGGTCCCTCCCGGGCTTTTGGGTGCGTCCCCGCCTCGGGAAGGAATAAATGTGGACTGAAGTTCCCCCAGAAGTCAACCCCCTACTTCTAGTCCACGGCAAGGGACCCTGGAGATGCAATGGGGTGTTACTCCAGGCTCATTCCGCAAGTATTGTCAGTGTGGGTTCCCATCTCTGAAGATCGCCAGAGCCTCTGCCCCCAACCCTCCCCCCAGGCCCAGAGGCCCACACTCACGCCTCCGCGGGGGTCTCCGCAGAGTAGCCTCTCTTTGGCCCACCCAGACCGTGTCGCGTAGCCGTGGAGCAAGAGCGCCACCGGGAGGCCGCAGCGCTAGGTGGCCAGACCGCTGGTCGCAGGACTCTTGGGCCTGCCACCAGCTCAGCCACTGTCTGGAGAACTTGCACACCGCACCTGCAGTCTCCACCACCTCGCCAGGGGCCACTGGGCCTGGAGGGCAAAAGGAGAGATGGTGTGGGAGGGATTTTGTGGACAACTGACCCTTCCCAGGGTGGACAGGGCCAGGGACACCGGGCTTGGAGTCATTGGTCAGCTGAATCCTGACCATGATGACCTGGTGAGTCCTGTCCCCTTGCAGAGCCCGTTTCCTCATCTGTACGGTGGCAGGAATGAGATGGACACCAGTGAAGCTTTTGGCTCCTGGCCTGGTATGGTGGGGGCTGAAGTGTCATTCCTCCCTCCCGTGGCACTCTAGGCCAGGGCACCCCTTGGACCACAGGCGGGCTGAGCTGGGGGAGGGGGAGTCTCCCTGTGGGGGACACCTCACACCCACCTGTGGCCCAAGGGTTCCTTGATTCGCCTGGAGAGTTGGAGGGGGTCCCAGAGACACTCCTGACCTGAGAGAGAAGAAGACAAGTGGGGGCTAGAACAGGTCCCCCCACATGTGCAGTTATTGAATGCCTACTGTGTGCCCCACGGGGTGCAGTGGAGGCAGCAGGCTCTGCAGTCAGACCTAGGGTCACATTCGTCCACCCAGAGTGTGATTTTGGTCAAGTCACTTCACTGCCCTGAGCCTGTTTCCCCCTTGTGAGGAATAAACAAGCTGGTGGGTGAATGTAAGAGGTGTAGCACCTGACGGGTGCTTTTACTCATGTCTGTGCCAGGGGTTGTCTTGTGTAACCCTTGCAGTGACCTCATGATGTGGGGTGGCCACGTGGAACCCTCAAAGCTTTAAGCCTCCTTGGCCTCCTCCCCTGCACTGCCCTCCCAGAGCGAAGGTACCAGGAGGTAGAGGACGCAGTAGCACCAGGGGGCCATCTGGATCCAGCCCAGGCAGGTGATGGACTGCAAGCCAAGGTGGACTGAGGAAGAAGAAGAAAGGTAAGGAAAGCAGCTCAGCGTGTTGCTGTGCCCCTCTGACTCCCGCAGGGTCACCTGGCCCTTTGTTTGGTTCCCATACCCCACTGGGCTGGAAGCCAACCAGTGGGCTGGGAGCCCAGGATGGGGTGGCCCACCCACTAGGGATGACATTTACTTGCACAAAGGGATGGTCTCCAGGAGCCCCTGCTGGACTGAAGCTGGGAAATGCTGTAGCCCTGGTGAGCTGGGGAGAGGGGGAAGGCAGAGCTCAGGGTCCCTGCCGGGGAAGAGGGGGCTCAGGGCCATATGGCTGCCTTTGCTCTTTGGGTTCCCCACTTGCCATTCAAGGCTCAGCTTCGTCAAGTCTTCTGCTGAGCCCATGGGCCTCACCTGTTCCCCCGTTCTTCCATGAAGCCACCTTTTCCCCTACTCCCCAGGCTGTGTCCCTTCTCTAGGCCTTTGGCCATGACGTCCCTCCAGCCTGGACTGGCCTCGCAGTCTCTCAGTGGCACCTCCTTCAAGATTAGCTTGAGGTCGCTTCATCCACCCAGCACTGATGGTGAGTCTGCCACAGCCAGGCGCTGCACTAAGCTGGGGATACCCTACTCCTGGGTGATTTGGGGGTCACTCCTGACAACCTGGGGGCTCTGCTCCAGCTCTGGCCATGCACAAATGTGTTGGGAAAACGCTGTATCCCACCAGCTGGCCTCCTGCCACTTGGGAGTCTGGAGCCATCACCAGTGATAATTCACTTTCTCCTCTTCTAGATACAGCAGGAAAATCAAACACGCCCCAGAACAGGAGGACTTGGAGGTTCACACTTTTTGGACTCTGAAAATCACCAATTTATTGTCACTTTTCCCCCCTTTTAAACAGCACCTGCGTCCACTTGCCCTCCCCACCCCCAGCCAAGATGGGTGGGGAATTGCAGGAGGCTGGTCCAGGGCTGACGCAGTGCCTGGCGTGTGCTGGCGCATAGTTTGGGCTCAGTAAACGCTGACTCGCTCCCTCCCTTGTACACGTTTGCATGTATTTGCCCCCTCAAGCCCCTTGGCGCCCACCTTTCTTGCTCACCAAACACGTTGACACCGGAGAGAGAGATGGGAAGTGGCCAACCGCCACTGTGCATCCCTCCTCAAGAGGGGCGGATGGGCCTGGGACAGGGGCCTTACCTCCCCTGCTGGTCCCTCCCCTGTCCCCAGCCCCAGGTCCTCACCCGCTTTGCCTGGCCTGGCGCCTGCGGCTGGTTCAGCTGGTTCACCGTCTGCGTGTGCCAGGTGTCTGCAGGGACAGAGAGGCAGCGGCTGGCTCTGGGCTCTTAGCCTCGCAGCGGGACCAGTCGGGTGCGGGGCGGTGCTAGGAGACCCCGCCCCTCGGCCCCGCCCTTCTGAGCCTGAGACCCGCCTCCCGGTGGGTGGCAGGGGACCTTCAGTCCCTGGACCCGCCTGTTGTCACCACCTCTCCACCCAACGCAAGGATAAAGTCACCCCGTTAGGAGGGACTCCCCTGTGAGACTTGGATCCAAAGTAAATTTGTGGAGGGTGAAGGATCCCTGGGCCTCCCGGTCCCATCAGAGGCCAGGATGGTGGGGGAGGGACTCTCAATACCTGGCCCACCACTTAACTGCCGCCCACCTCCTCTCCTTCACCTTCAGCCTGCTGCGAGGAAGGGCTGTCATACCCATTTTCCCGAGGAGGACTGAAGAAGCCTCTGGCCCCAAGTTAGGCACTTGGCCCGTGGCAGAGCCTCGTCTTTTATTTATTTATTTATTTTTTGAGACAGAGTCTCGCTTTGTTGCCCTGGCTAGAGTGAGTGCCGTGGCGTCAGCCTAGCTCACAGCAACCTCAAACTCCTGGGCTCAAGCAATCCTTCTCCCTCAGCCTCCCGAGTAGCTGGGACTACAGACATGTGCCACCATGCCCGGCTAATTTTTTCTATATATATTTTTAGTTGCCCAGATAATTTCTTTCTATTTTTTGGTAAAGATGGAGGTCTCACTCTTGCTCAGGCTGGTCTAGAACTCCTGACCTTGAGCGATCCACCCGCCTCGGCCTCCCAGAGTGCTAGGATTACAGGCGTGAGCCACCGCGCCCGTCCCAGAGCCTGGTCTTGAACCTGATCTCTGGGTCTTCATCTGGCCATTCCAAAGGTAATGTAGGGAGGGGAGAGAGGGCAGAGCTGGGGCCAGGGGTGCAGAGAGAGGCTGAGGGGTTGGGGGATGCAGAGGCAAAGGTCCCCCACGGAAGCATGCAGCAGGGACTGGGGGTACATCTTCCTGGCCTCAACAGCAGGGGTTCCTGGTGGGAGGGAGGTTAGACTGAGTGACCCCGGGGCCCAGGCTTCGGGATCAGACAGATCTATCCAAGTTCATGTTGACTCTGACCTGAGGCGCATTACTGAATTTCTCTAAGCCTCAGTTTCCCCATCTGTAACATGGGGATGATAACTAATGCATGACTCATAGGGTTGCTGTGAAATTTGAATGACTTTGACTTAATGTATGTACCAAGCCCGTAGCCTGTACATGATGCCTGGCACCAGTCCATTTAGCTTTCTCGTTGAAACTTATTTTTTCAAATAACCTGCTGGCAACACAATAGTTTATTTTTTCCAATTTTTTGGGAAAATTTACCATCTTATGATGATTTATTTTTAAAAGAAGGAGGGGAATCAAAGTGGACGATACGTCGGTGTTCAGTGTGCCGTTCTTTCGGCTTTTCTCTGGGGTTGAGAATTTTCACAATAAAAATTGGGACGTAAGAGATCACTCACTAGGGCAGAGCTCTGAGCATTTCCCAGGTTCCCAGGCCAGCAGAATGGATTCAGGACAACTTGGTTCTCCCTTGCTTGTGACCCACCCACCCCCTGCCCAGACCCAGGTCCCAGAGCCAGTGAGAAGGGCAAGAAGGAGAAGCCCAGGGTGGAGCCCTTGCCCCGCCTGGCGTGGCTGGGCCTTTTCACGCTTGCACCTTATCATTCAAGGCGGGGTTCTTGGGAGGCATTTTACACATGAGAATACTGAGCCCTGAAAGGAGGCAGGACTGGTCTGAGCTCACGCAGCTGGGCAGGGGTGTGCTCCAGGCCTGCCTCCTGGCCTGTTCTTTCTCTCCGTGGGTAGGTGGGGTTCTGCCAGTTCCTTTGTGCGCCTTCCAGCCGTCCTGGCCCGTCCCGAATCCCTCCCTGTAGCCCAGGTAATGACCTTCCCATCTTTGGCAAATCCCTGCCCTCGGGTCCCCCGCCAGTGTCCTCCTTCCATGGGACCACATTTCCCAGGAGCCGCTCCTGGAGATGGCCAAGGACCCCAGGGAGGTGGGGGAGTCTGTGGACCCTGATTTGAGACCCCCGAGCAGTCGGGATGTGTTTGGGCCGTGGCTTGGCCTAATCTCTCGTCCCCAGAGCCTGGGTGGTGTCCAGCTGGCAGCCGAGGGCCATCCGTCGGCTTTACGGGAGCAGCCCTGACAGCCCTTGTCTCCGCAGACAGGGCCTGGAGGCTGTGGTGAGTGATAGCCTGTGGGGACATTGTCTGGGGAGATGGGTTGGGGCTTGGAGAGGGCAGCCGGCGCCCAGGGGAGCCTCGAGGGGGGGCCTGAGGACATTTTGTTCCTCACCCCTGAGCTCTGGCCCTGCCTCAGCCCCTCAGCCAAACCTCCCCTCACCCAGGGCCAGGCATTTTGGAAGGAAGAGCCGGCAGCTGGGTGATTTTCACTCTAGGCCTTCCACTGTCCCCACAGAATTGAGGCTTGGCCATCAACCAAATTTTATGTGACTTGGGCAAGTCACTCTACCCCGTGTTTTCTTCCATAGAATGTGGAAAATCACCTCTTCCTCTCAGGTGGCCATGAGAAGAGATTAGTATTGGGGTCAGTGTCATTTTTCTCTGAGGGGACTGGCTCCTGCTCTGTAGAAAAAGTGGCGTCCCTTCCCCTCCCCCACCCCTACGCAGCCCGGGCCCTGAGTAACCAGGGTGGGCCCAGATCCAGCACTGCCTCCCCTCTTGCCTGCTCCAGGGCCCTCCCACACAGCGGTCGGGGTGATCGCTCTAAAATTTCCATGCAATCCTGTCCCTCCTCTGCTCAACATCCTTCTATGGCTCCCGAGTGCCTCCGAGAGAAAGTCCACCCTTGTCACGGCTGACACAGGCTCCTCCGCCCTCTGTTCCCCTTCACTGTGCCTCTCCCTCTTCCTCCAGCCAGAGGGAGCATCTTTCTGTCCTCGCCTCCAGCCCCCTGCACGTGCTCTTGCCTCTGCTTAGGAATGGCGGGGCCCCCTGCCTCCAAGTCTTTCCTTGTTCGTTTCTATTTATCCTTCAGGTCTCTGGGATGCCTTCCCTGCCCCCCACCTTAAACTGGCTCCGAAACCCCCCGATTGCTGCAATTGCCAGGAGCACCCAGGCCAAGCTTGACGGTGAGCGCTTTGCATTTGTTGAAGGACTGAAGGAACCATCCAGCAGACCCAGTCACACCCAGACAGAGGCCTGTGACTCTAAGGTTTGCGTGTGAGTGTGTGTTTCCGGGCAGAGGTGTGGCAGTGGGACGAGGACTCCCTTTAATGGGTCCCCAAGGCCTGACACCTACACCACTGCTTGTGGCCCCCAGAGGGTGAAATGCCTGTTTAGTGCCAACCTGTGGCAGGACCCTCCTTAGCCAGTGAGAAAAGAGAAGACACTCCCACCCACCCCACCTGTCCCCACGTGTCACTGGGGCAGCTCCAGAAGCTGAAAGCTGGGAGCAGCTGGTGCAGTGGCCTTGAGCTGGGAGTCAGAACCCCTCCCCGCCATCCGCCATTCCAGGCCCCTCTCCGCCACCAGCCAGCATACAGGCCTGAATCAGTCATGTGTCTGCTCTGGGTTTCAATTTATCTCTGACATGCCCAGCCTAGAGCCTGGCACACAGCAGGTGCTCAGTAAATACCTGCATGTACTAGGAGGAAGCCAAGAACCAGAGAAGGGAAGGGAAAGGACCTGTGGCCACATGGCGAGTCTGTGGCACAGCCTGAGCCTCCCTGGCCTTCCTCACACAGACCGTCCAACCCATCTCTTCTCAGAGCTTAAAAATATTTTCACCTCTACCTGATGTGGCTGAGTGACTGCTAGTGGGCACAGGATTTCTTTTGGGGTGATGAAAATGTTCTAAAATTGATTGTGGTGATGGCTACACGACTCTGCAAATGCACTAAAAACCATTGAGTTGTATGCTCTCAATGGGTGAATTTTAGCACATGAATCGTATCTCAATAAAGCTGTTATTTCAAGAAAGAGCAATACTGTGGAAGAAAAAGCACTGAGCTCGGAGTCAGAGGACCTGCCTTCGTAGCCACATGAACTTGTTGAGTTCCCTTATCTGTGACTTGGGATCTGATTCCCTACCCTGCCTTCTTGCTAGGAGCTCGTAGGATCAAACGAGAGAGTTGAGTTGTAATATGCCCAGAGCTGACACCAGTGTCAGCGTGGCCGTGTCTACAAAAATGA